TTGTTGTTGTAGTTTGGCCAGGGCCCGGTTTGAACCTGTTATCCTTGGTATATGGGGCCGGCACCCTACTCACTGAGCCACAGGCACCACCCTAACAAAGTTCTTGTATGGAAGAAAGGTATATTTTAGTGTTATATATTTGAGAACCACTGAGTCTAATTCTCTAATTATATTGGAATAGGAATCTGATCCAGTAAATAGGGTACAGCCAAAGCTGACAATAAGATGGCAGCAAGAGCTACAGGTATCAAAACTGAACAGCCAATCTAAAGTCACTCTTGCTCTTTAATTGAAACTGCATTACTTGAACTTAAGATATCTCTGGGTCTCCCCAAAACAGCACAAAAACTTAATGGTCTAAGATTCTGCCTTTTTTTTTGAGACACTCACTCTGACACCCTGAGTAGTGTGCCACGGTATCAGCTCATAGCAACGTCAAACTCCTGGACTTGAGAAATCCACTAGCTGGGACTACAGGCTCCTGCCACAATGCACAGCTAGTTTATTTTCTTTCTATTTTTAGTACAGACCAGGTCTCACTCTTGCTCAGGCTGGTCTCGAACTCCTAAGCTCAAGCAATCTACTCACCTCCGTTTCCCAGAATGCTAGAATTACAGGCGTGAGCCACCGCACCTGGTCAGATTCTGCTTCTTCTATAAGAATACCATTTTCAAGAAATGGAGCATCCTTAACAAAGTAAATTAAAAAAAAATTTTTTTTGAGACAGAGCCTCAAGCTGTCGCCCTGGGTAGAGTGCCATGACATCACAGCTCACAGTAACCTCCAACTCCTGGGCTCAAGCAAGTCTCCTGCCTCAGCCTCCCAAGCAGCTGGGAGCACAGGTGCCCGCCACAATGTCCGGCTATTTTTCGGTTGCAACCATCATCGTTGTTTGGCAGGCTGGGGCTGGATTCGAACCCACCACCTTGGGTGTATGTGGCTGGCGCCTTAGCCACTTGAGCCACAGGCTCCAAGTCAAATTTAAAATTTTAAATGGAAAACCTCTCTAGATTTTAACTCAATCAGTGACTGATTTTTACCAAAAGTAGACATTAATTTACCTTTAACATAAGAGACTGTGGGGCTTCAAGAGGTGTACAAGCTTCAGGAGAGCCCAGCAGTTCTGCTCCATGAATAATAATCTTCTGACCCACACTCAGTCTGCCGTTCTTTAAAAGAGCTAACAGGGGAGGGTCTAGTAGGGCCTTGACAGCATACCACCCATCTGTAAGTTCAATAACGGACACTTTTTTGGTATCCTCACTATTAGTTTTACTGTTAGAAGTTTCACATATATTTGCACTCAATGAAATTATGTCAGAAACACATAGAACAAGTGTTTTTGCAGCTGTGTCATCCTTTTCCATTATCTTTTTTAAAGCTGATCTTCTGCTTCTGTCAATTTCTAAATCATATCTGCAAATAAATAGAAAAATGCATATTTTAGGAACTGTGACTCTAGAATTCCATTTAAAAAAGTTACTGAATAATCGAGAATAAAAATTAATCAAGACACACAGAGAGAAAATTAAAAATTCTATAGCCAGTTTTATATTAATAAAATATGAATTCCAAAAAGCAAAAATATTTTATTAGCAATCCTTGAATAGTGGATTAAATTAGTAACTCATACGCTTCTCATATGCCAAGAGGTTAAGGAGGGGGTAGGGGAAGAGGTAAGCAAGAGGTATATGTGTAATCTCTCTTAAGTGAGGGATGACAACAGTTCTGTACAGCATGAACAGCAGCATGGGATGGTGAGTGTCACTAACAACTGGTTCATGCACCATCTTTGATGTCAAGTCACAGACTGCACAGAAACCTGAACCACACTGCAGTATATGACTACAAAATGTTGTGGGGTTTTTTTGTTTTTTTCCTTTTGAGACAGAGCCTCAAGCTGTTGCCCTGGGTAGAGTGCCATAGCATCACAGCACACAGCAACCTCCAACTCCTGGGCTCAAGTGATTCTCCTGCCTCTGCCTCCCAAGCAGCTGGGACTGCAGGCGTCTGCCACAATGCCCAGCTATTTTTTGGTTGCAGTCGTCAATGTTCTTTGGCAGGCCGGGCTGGATTTGAATCCGCCAGCTCAGGTGTATGTGGCTGGCACCTTAGCTGCTTGAGCCACAGGTGCCGAGCCATGACTGCATAATGTAATGCTTTAAACTTGCCTGTATTTTAGTTGAAGAAGCACTCTTTCTGGGCTTAGGCATCTATTAGCAAATTCCTTAGGAAAAGCAAATTCCATAGCTGCCAGCTTCCATATAATCCATCTATAGTGATTATAGACCCAAACTCTAGAAATAAGCTTTGGATCCACACCTGGGGTATCACACAGAGCCCTGAATAAAGGTAGAATAATATCATAAATAAATCATCACATAGGATGACACTAAGATCAATAGTGACACCTATTCTCTGTATAAAAACTACATTGTACATTCAATTAAGTTTTAATGGGTTAATGTAAGATCTCTAAGTAGTATAATTTTAGAAAATTATTTAATATATACCAAAGTATCATACTTATAAAAACTCCACTTAACATAAAATTCAATGCAAAAACTTAAAAACAAGCACACATACACACTCCCCTCTTAGGGCCTGGGAAGCTTTCCCTGGGCAGTCCTATGCTCCATCCCTTTACCTTCTTCAGGTCATTCATTAAATGTCACTGACATGGTAAAGCCTTCCTGACTATTTTATTTAAACACTATACTTCTCCTCAACCAACTTTCTCTACCACCTTCCCAGTTTCATCTATCTTCACAGTACTTACTACTTTCTAACAGACTATACAATTCACTTGTTATTTTAAAAGCTTTTCTGTGTTTTCTATGCCCACTAGAATGTGCAACTCATTTAGCAGGGATTTTTTTTTTGTTTTGCTTTGTTATCCTTAGTACCCGGCACATAGTATTTGCTAAATGATAAAAAAAAATAATAATAAGAGCAACACACACACATGTATTTATTCTTGGAAAATGAGATCTTTAGTTTAAAATAATTGTATTTTAGGGCAATGCCTGTGGCTCAAACGAGTAGGGCACTGGCCCCATATGCTGGAGGTGGTGGGTTCAAAACCAGCCCCGGCCAAAAACTGCAAAAAAAAAAAAAGAATTGTATTTTAGATTTTTTTTCTTATTAAGGAGATTGTTTTTAGAAATGACACCTGAGAATGCCATTCTCTCATCCTGATGTTTTGTGCTGTCCCCTCTATTCCCAAATCTCTAATTCCTCCTCTCTTACACTCACTCTTAGCACTAAGACAACTGAAGTAATCAAAAGAGAACTTCCACCCTCCCCTCTACCCACCCATAGTATCCACATCCTTACACTTTGCCTTCTCCTACCATTTGTGCACTAACTACCATCCTTTACTGCTTAAATCAAGGCCACTGACTAGGAAATATTTCCTACTCTCTACTGCACAATCTCCACTAGCATAAAAATTTTTTTTCTACCTTAAAACAAACAAGACCCTTTCATTCTTCTACCGCCAAGTACAGTCCTTATCTTTTCAGCAATTCCCAAAAGAATTATATTCTGTCTCCAACTCTTCAATCACCCTTTTTTTTTTTTTTTTGGCAGTTTTGCAGGTATATGGGGCGGTGCCCTCTCCTTTGAGCCACGGGCGCCACCCCTCAATCACCTTTTAATTGTTTTCTAATTGGCCTTTGACTCACTGATCTAATGAGCTCTTTTTATTAAGGTTAGTAATGTCTTACAGTATTAAATCCAGTGGTCAATCTCAATTCTTACTTTATTTTAACCAATCAGCTGTGAATGCCATAGTCAGTCATTTTCTATCCCTGGGAGTCCAATCTTCATGCAGCATCCCCCCCATTCTCCTTGCATTTACTTCTTTCTAGTTGCTTTCCCAGTCTCTCCTGACTTTACATTTATATCTAAACTTAAAGTTACATTCTCAAATTTATTTCTTTGGCTATACTTCATCTATTCATCTATGTGTAGACTCATATATACAACTCATATCTCTACTTAGATGCATATCACATTGCAAACTTCAAATGTCCAAAACTATACTATCAATTTCTTTTTTCCTTTTTGAGACAGAGTTTCATTATGCCGCCCCTCAGTAGAATGCCATGGCATCACAGCTCACAGCAACCTCAAACTCTTGAGCTCAAGCGATACTCTTGCCTCAGCTTCTCTAGTAGCTGGGACTACAGGTACTCGCCACAATGACCGGCTATTTTTTTGTTTGTTTAGCAGGCCTGGACTAGGTTTGAACCCACCAGCCCTGCTGTATGTGGCTGGTGCCCTAACCACTGAGCTATGGGCACCCAGCCTGTACTATCAATTTCCCTTCCATTTTTGGTCTTCTCTTAATTCTGGTAGAGTTGTTTATGTGGTAGCTCCATCCTTCCAGCTGCTAAGGCCAAAATGTTCGGAGCCACTCTACTCTCCTCATTCACACTCTACTTGCAGTCCTTGAGCAAATCCTAATGGTGCCACCTTTAAAATATACCCAGAATCCAACTGCTTCTCACCAACTCCCTTGCCCTTGCCTGGTCCAAGCAACCATCTCTTACCCACATTACTGCAATAACTTTTTTTTTTTCCTTGAGACAGAGTCTGACTTTGTCACCTTTGGTAGAATCCTGTGGCATCATAGCTCACAGAAACCTCAAACTGTACAGCTCAAATGATTCCTCTTGCCTCAGCCTCTCAAGTAGCTGGGATTACTGGGGCCCACCACAATGCCTACTATTTTTAGAGACCCTCAACTCTGGGTCTCAACTCTGGCTCAGGCTGGTCTTGAACTCCTGAGCGCAAGCAATTCACCAGCCTCAGCCTCCCAGAGTACTGGGATTACAGGTGTGAGCCACCATGCCCAGTCTTAGCAATAGCTTCTTAAGTGGTCTCTCTGCTTCTCACTCTCAGACCACTATCAATTTTTAGCCAGAATTTTTTTTTTTTAGGTAAGTTAGATCATGCCACTGTTTGTTTTAAACCTTCTGATGGTTTAGAGTAAAAATTGTTACTGAAGAATAAAATTTAAGGCTCTTATGAAGATCTCTGAGGTCTTCCCTTTTTATTCATATACTTGTACTTTTCTCTTGCCCACTATCCTGCACCTACAGTAACTTCTGTTCCTCAAATCTTTCGGGCATGCTCCCCTCTTAGAGCCTGGGAAGCTTTCCCTGGACAGTCTTATGCTCTGTCCCTTTACCTTCTTCAGGTCATTTATTAAATGTCACTGACATGGTAGAGCCTTCCTATTTTATTTAAACAATATACTTCTCCTCTCCCAACTTTCTCTACTGCCTTCCCAGTTTCATCTATCTTCACAGTACTTAACACTTTCTAACATACTATACTATTCACATTGTAATAGGTAAACAATAGATATTTCTTGAATAATCAAAAAACAACTAATAAGAGCAATGCCGTAACTTATGAACTTGCCCAGTCAACTACAGGGTAATCATTCTTAACACCAGTATAAAAAAATAACACAGCTGTTTTACCATACATTTCCTACCTATAGCAGATGTTTGTTATGTAAGACATGAGTAACACGTAAATAACGTTTTTGCTTTAAAATATTCTAGAGGCTAGCCCAGTGCCTGTAGCCCAGCAGCGAAGGCGCCAGCCACATACACCAGAATTGGCAGATTCGAACCCAGCCTGGGCCTGCCAAAATATTCTAGAGGTCGTGTGTGGTGGCTCATGCCTATAATCCTAGCACTCTGGGAGGCTGAGGCAGGTAGACTGCTTCAGCTCACGAGTTCAAGACCAGTCTGAGCAAAAAGTGAGACCCTGTTTCTACTAAAAATAGAAAAACCGAGGCAAGAGGACCACTTAAGCCCAAGAGCTGGAGATCACTGTGAGCTATGATATCATAGCACTCTACCCATGATGACAGCTTGAGATTCCATCTCAAAAACAAAAAAACTCCAAAAAAGTTCTAAAAAATTTTTTAAAAGTTTTACCACTTTCCAAAAACTGTAATATTTGTTATTGCTGATATTTACATACTTCTATTTAACTATTAGTGTTTATTTGTTAAACACCATACTATTTATATTTATTAAAATATACAACAAAAAAGAATATGACATAAGTCTGTGGGGGGGGGGAGCCTGCTATATGGCCATTTCAAATTTGACCTTTCTTTTTCTTTTTCTTTTTTTGAGACAGCATCTCCAGCTGTCACCCTTGGTAGAGTGCTATGGCATCACAGCCCACAGCAACCTCAAACTCATAGGCTTAAGCGGTTTTCTTGCCTCAGCCTCCCAAGGAGCTGGGACCACAGGTGCGTGTCACAATGCCCGGCTATTTTTTGGTTGCAGTTGTTATTGTTGTTTAGCTGGCCTGGGCCGAGCTTGAACCTGCCAGCCTTGGTGTATGTGGCTGGCACTGTAACCACTGTGCTATGGGCACTGAGCCAAATTTGATTTTTCTTTTTTTTTGAGACAGAGCCTCAAGCTGTCCCCCTGGGTAGAGTGCCGTGGCATCACAGCTCACAGCAACCTCCAACTCCTGGGCTCAAGTGAGTCTCCTGCCTCAGCCTCCCAAGCAGCTGGGACCACAGGTGCCTGCCACAACACCCGGCCATTCTTTGGTTGCAGCTGTCATCGTTATTTGGTGGGCCTAGGCTGGATTCTAACCTGCCACCTTAGGTGTATGTGGCTGGCACCCTAGCCACTCGAGCCACAGGCGCCGAGCCAAATTTGACTTTTCTTATCAGCCTTTATTTTTAAATGTATGAGAAAAATGCCCCAATTTAAGAAAACTCTGCTTATTAAATTCCAAGAGAAACCTTATTCACTTTTAAAAAGATTTCAACAGAACATTTACTGAGCCACAATGTACTGATTTGATGTATAAAAATTTGATATCTAGCCAACGTTTTTTTAGTTCAAGGTATATAAAAGACATAAAAGAGACTTGGAAGGAAGAGAGAAATGGTGGAATACATAAAGAGTTAATCTTTTTACATACAGTACCTATAAAATTCTTCTTTCCCAGCCTTTCCATCATTGGAGGGTATCAGCCATCCACCATCGGCCAACTGTATTCCCTTTCCAGCCCATAAATACTCCTTACCAAAATAATCCTGAATATGAAACTGAAAAGACTCTGCATTTTTGCTGTTAATTTTTATGCAATGTTTAGAAACGCCATACATATACAGCTGTACAAAAACAGAAAACAGAAAAAAAACTGATGATGAAAAGCAAATCAAAATGAAAATGTTTCACAGAATAAAAACAATTATAACAAACCAAAACTAAATATACAAAAAAAATTTTATTTAAATACTAGAATACTCAATATAAAAATATTTATTTACTGGAAACTAAAAAGTTTAATGCATTATAAACGACACATACATTTAAGAGTCTGCTGTACTCTTTTCACTTCCCCTGTGTATATGCTTCTTGCTAAATCTACAGGGATAAAAACTACTAATATTTTACTAAATATCTTAAATTAAAAAATGTAGAAGGGAACTAACAGGGAAATATTTTAAGTATTTCCAGGAAAATGACCTCAGAGGTCAGATTTGTGGATGGCTCTGGCCTACTTCTAAGGTACTGAACTTTTACCTCAGCATGCCTAACCCAAAATATTTTTTTCTTTGTTTAGAGTTTGACTTAGGCTCGTTGCTTTGGAATTGTGTCTCTTCCACTTGCTAGATACATGCTTTAGGACTGTTACTTAACTCTTGCTATGGTTTAGTCCTCTTAATTTGCAAAATGATAGACAAAGTAATATACCTTTCTTTTAGAGTGGTTGTGAGGACTGAGTGAGACATAACCAATGCATGTAAAGTGCCTTGCACATAGAAAAACCCCCAGTAGGCTGGGCGTGGTAGTTCATACCTGTAAAGGATTCTCTACATAACACAGATGAAAAAAGTTGGTTCCATTTTGCAGTTATTTCACTTGAAAGCAGTTTCCAAGAATCTTGATGACATTAATGAAGACTTGCCTAGCTTTTATATCACAGTTTGTTATGAGGCTTAAATGAATTAATCTATATTAAATCATATACAGGCCAGGGTTAGTCAATCATATCTCTACTCCCAGAATTTTGAGAGGCTGAGGCAGGGCAATTGTTTGAGGCCAGGAGCTTGAGACCAGACTGAACAACATAGTAAGACCCAATCTCTACAAAAAACAGAAACATTAGCCAGGCCTAGTGGCATATGCCTATACTCCTAGTTACTTAAGCCTGAGCCAGGAGGATCACTTCAGCCCAGGAGTTTGAGGTTGCAGTGAGCTATGATTGCACCACTGCGTACTGTAGCCCAGGAGATAAAATGAGACCCTATCTCAAAAAAAAAAAAAAAGAAAAGAAAATGCTTACTAAATGTTAGCTATTATCAATATTATTTTCACCTCTGTATTGCCTAAAATTGTATTTAGATAGTAGTGGCTTAACAAGAACCCTCTTTTAAAAATGTAAATAGCTTATAATAAGTTTTTTTCTTTTGGTTGCAGCCATCATTGTTGTTTGGCGGGCCCAGGCTGGATTCGAACCCGCCAGCTCAGGTGTATGTGGCTGGCGCCTTAGCCGCATGAGCCTTTGGCGTGGAACCTAATAAGTTCAACAATATCAGTTATTCACTATTGGATTTCAATGAGACTTCTTTCCTCTAACACCTAGAGAGAGCATTTATAGTAACAAAATGAGTAAGATCTGGAGAAGGAAGAAAAATCGTAATTTTGAAGCACAGATCACTTTGGGAGAATAAGGCAGGCCTAGAAGAAAGGGAGGCTGCCAATGCAGGCTAATTAGGAAGCATGATTTCATTCATTCATTCATTCCTACAGTTTGTTCATTCTAGAAAAATTTGTAGATACTAGTTAATTTCACTTTGTTATAAAAGCTATGAGCACTACAAGACAAAATACCTGTTTATGAGAACATGCAGAAGGAACTCGACCTCCTACTGCTGCTTTCAGAGAGATTCTCGGCAGAGAGGATGTTTTTGCAAGATACAGACTGCCTGGCTGTGGGGAGATATGATGCCTTTGTTTCTTTTTAATTCGCATATCTTGTGTATCTCTCGCATTCTGAAGACTTGTAATTAAATCTATTGAAGAACAAATAGCAAAAATAAAAGTGAATAAAAATTTAAAAGCATACCTCTTACTTTGTAACATTTATACATATCACTTTACTCCAATTTTACATACACAGAAAAAGGGGGCTCCTAACCCTTTTAAAACTTTATGGATGCGGCCTGGTGCCAATAGCACAGTGGTTACTGCACCAGCCTTGTACACGGAGGTTAGCGGGTTCGAACCTGGCCTGGGCCAACTAAACAACAACAACAAAAATAATAGCCAGGCGTTGTGGCAGGCACTTGTAGTCCCAGCTACTTGGGAGGCTGCGGCAAGAGAATCACTTAAGCCCAAGAATTCAAGGTTGCTGTGAGCTGTGACACCACAGCACTCTACCAAGGGTGACATAGTGAGACTCTGTCTTAAAAAAAAACCTAGGCTCGGCGCCTATAGCTCAACCGGCTAAGGCGCCAGCCATGTACACCTAAGGTGGCGGGTTCGAATCCCCAGCCCGGACCCGCCAAACAATGACGGCTGCAACCAAAAAATAGCCAGGCGTTGTGGCGGGCGCCTGTGGTCCCAGCTACTTGGGAGGCGGAGGCAGGAGACTCGCTTGAGCCCAGGAGTTGGAGGTTGCTGTGAGCTGTAATGCCATGGCACTCTACCCAGGGGGACAGCTTGAGGCTCTGTCTCAAAAAAAAAAAAAAAAAAAAAAAAAAACCTAAAACAAATAACCAAAAGAAAATTTTATGGATGCAATGTTTCAACTTGTAAAGTTGTATAAATAGAAATAGGCTAGGTGCCCGTAGCTCAGCAGCTAAGGTGTAAGCCACATAAATTGGACCTGGCAGGTTTCCAGGCCTGCCAAAACAACAATGACAATTGCAGCAAAGAAATAGCTGAGTGTTATGGTGGCTGCTTGTAGTCCCAGCTACTGGGAGACTGAGGCAAGGGAATTGCTTGAGCCCAAAAGTTTGAGGTTGCTGTGGGCGGTAACACCACAGCACTCTACCAAGAGCGACATAGTGAGACTCTGTCTCAAAATTAAAAAAAAAAGAGTAGAAATACATTTATTGAGGAAGAAAAGAAAGTTCTTTCTTATAATAGAATGCCAGTGAAATAACATAAGAGGATGGATAGAGTTAGGAATTTATTAATGAATAATGAAATTAGCAGATGAATATTTGATAAAGAACAAGGTATTTACATAGTCTCAAACTATCTCCCCACAGATGACTCATTAAGCACAAAAAGAAAAAATGTCAGTGAAGAAACTTGGTAAATAGTACTTTAAGTAAGTAAGCAGAGGTAACATCTTCAAAACTGGCAAACTAACCCTGTGTGCTTCCTGACATGGTGCCTTGAAAAACATGCAACATCACTTTGGTATAATCGTGCCAAAAAATCTATAGTATGAACATAATTTTTAGGAAACATCAGGTAAAACCAGACGTTGGGCTATTTCTGCAAAGTAACTAGCCTTTAATCTTTAAAAAGGGTTATGGTCATGAAAAACAAGGAAAGGTTTAGGACCATTCTAAGACTAAAAGATAAGATGATAAATACAATCTTAGGCTTAAATTGGCTCTTTAACTTGGAAAAAATAGCTAATAAAAACTAGATTTTTTTTTTTTTGAGACAGAGCCTCAAGCTGTCCCCCTGGGCAGAGTGCCGTGGCATTACAGCTCACAGCAACCTCCAACTCCTGGGCT